TCTGGGCCCCTCTCCTCCACTTCCCATCAACCCCCTTGAGTAACGGACCGGAGTGTACGGCAGCCAAACACTCCCATCCCAAAAGCACACATACACATACACGGAACACACACACACACACACACACACACACAGAGACAGAGACTTACATGCGTACACACGCATACACACGTATACATACTTTCACAGTAATCGTACGAAATCCCGTAGAATATATCCGAAGCGCATAGAAGCGAGCGCACGAGACGTACTTGGTAGCCATTTGGTTGATGGCAAACGTAGTCAAGTTCTCTAATCGAATCATAACGATCGGCTTGTCTTGAATAAACAGATCGCAATTCGACTTATTAGACCGAGGTGGATGATATATATCCGTCGAGCTTATCGCAAGAATGGATACCATTAGACACCTGCCTAATCTTTCAGAAAGGAATCGTGAAGTTGATGTAAACGCACCTCGTACGCTCGTGTATATGGCATTTACGATAAACACCGCAGTATCATGGTAGGTTTAGATACACGATTTAGGAATAAAATGAAAAAAAAACGAAAGATACGCGCGAGTGGACGAAGAGCGGCAAAATTGGCGTTTACGCAATGCTTTTAAGAGACGTAGGATACGCTGTTTCCGTTGAGTGCACTTTCTGTCGGTTATCGAGCAAACGTCGTAAACGTCTATAAGTATGACGATAAAAGTAACAAGATGGAGGGAAAAGAGAATAGAACGATGGTGCGAGCGTCAAAGCGCGAGAGAAGCGTTTCACGATAGCTTACGTATGAATGACGATAGACGGGAAAGCATACACGAGAATAGTCACGACACCGTGAATGACATTCGTATGATATTCGCGGACATGCCAGTAAAGATCGAATGTATACATTGCTTGTACTCTTCTGATCTCGATCGCATTCCGACAATTCGCACTTATCGGTAACATCACTTGTGACATGAGATCATGGAGAAAAAATTAATAAAAAGGAATAGTCGTGATTAAAGAGGGTTACGCCATTGACATTTGTGCAAGATCTAGCTTGATGATCGTTACTATTGGACTCACGCACTTCACACCTGTCTAACCTGATTTTCTCATTAGATCATCTATGGCCGTAGGTTTGGACTATGTTGTCGCGATGCATTGTTCCAAATTAAGGTGACTGCACTGGGCTGTTTTTTTTTTACCGTTAAAAGGTATTAACTTATAATTTTTATTTCTGATTTAATTGAATATCAAGGTCATCGTATATTTGCAATTTAACACCGTGACATTTTGATCAGAATCAAATTATTGGCTTTAACGAATGTTATGAAAAAAAAACTCGATAATTGGATATAAATCGATTCCCACCTTACAAATTGTTTTACTGCGATCTGATTCGTATTACCTAGCAAATCTGATACAACTATCCTTATATTATAACGCATTATATTGTATTATAAATAACTCAATCTCTCTTAACTATGATATTTTACAATGCAATGATCGAGTCGCCGATCTCATTCTATTCAACGTCGAACCAACAATTATTTTTTTATACTATCTGTAGTTTTCGATATTTTGAACTTTATTAAAGTGATTTATAGAAGAATGGAATAATATATGTAGATAATTTACTTGAGCAATCTAGATTCGATATCGAGATACACGCTTGAATGAGACGTAGATGTCTACGCGTAATTAATTGAATGCTACAGGAGCATGTACATCGTTAATCCTATTAAGCAAATGAAACGTTAAGCAAATGGACGCAGTCTCCATGCGTTAGCCTATTGTAGACACTGTATGGTAAAGCACGTCTAACGTACGTCTGTATGCTGTGATAGAAGTAAGCGTATCAACAATCGGAAATAAATCTCTCGCGTAAATTTCACGTTCGCATATGCGCATCCTCGAAAACCCATCGCCGAAGATGGATCGTGACCTTCCAATGCAATCTTCTTTGGCGACATCGATATCTTAACGTGGCCAAGCGTGTAATTTTTAGATCATCGATTGAATCAAAAAGATGTGATCTAAGCTCGGGATGCGATTTTTCGGACATAATATACGTACTTTGATAGAAAATTTGGTAAAAATGATTAAAACAAACTTATGGTGAACTAGAAAAGCGATATAAAGTCGACAAAAAAAAAATAAGAATTTAATATATTATTATATTATACTTAAGAAGATGTAATCAAATTAGGGCGAAGCAAAATTTTATATACTTCCCTTTAATCTTTTAGAAACGTAGAAAATGGTCATAATAAGAAGCGGTTCGATTTTACATACATTTACAATTTTTTCTATCTATTTCGAATTGAAAAGTTTTCTAGCTTTATTATTTTAGACAGCAATTAATTGGAAAATTTTATATAAGAACAGTAATTGAATAAAAGAGTTATACTTGCAATTTTTAGCAATCAATTGCGGTATTTTGATATGGTATTTTTGCAAACTTAGGTACACTTCTTGCCACAATTTGAAAATTTCCGCAAAGATGTCGGCCGCGTTAAGATATTTTTTCGCCAGTCTCATGAATTGCTCCGTGAATAATTCATTACATAAGGACATCGCCTACCAACGAATACTGCCGCAGTTATTATTTATTCATAAAGTTTTATAAGTCTCTTTCTACCCGAATACGAAAAACTGTCCGAGTATATAACGTTCTGTATGCTATAAGACACGGAATCCGATAACGAGTAATGTACTAGCGAATAAACGTAGTGTGCATCAGAAGCGAAACTGTGCACCCGCCAGGCTCCTCGATGTGTTAACTGCGCGATTGCCACATTAAAGACATGTTAAAATTTACTCTAACATATCGAAAGTTCGAAATTAATTTAAGCGCGTCACACCATCCATCACTATCTAATCAAGACTGAAGTAGCGAAATCATCTTTTCACGGGTAACCAAGACGACTTCCTTTTGAAAAGAAATTTTCTCCAATTTTCCATTTATGTAAAATTCCGTCAAATAAGAAAAGAAGAGGAAGCGTTTCCCACGAAATTTTTTATATATTCTCGGTGGTTTTCTCGCAGTTCACGATAAATCTGTCTATAAATAAGTAAAAGCGCAAGTCCTTCGACGACGGAAACCGACGTAATAAACATTGTGGGACGCATCGTTTTCTATTCACAAGGGAACGACGATTTATATTACCTATTTCCCTGGTATCTTCCCGGCACCAAGACGTTGATATGACCCGGCCTTTAAAAGCACCCACGGAAAGTCGTTCCTGTCGTCACCGTAACCGAGGCGGATCAACATCGAGTTTAATTTCTCCGACGGATATATGAATCTAAAATCTACTATCGAGCGTGTAGTCATCATGGGATTTATACGGTACGACGACTCGACTCCACGTCGCGCTCAATCGAGAATGCGTCCTACGATTACGAAACTATAGTATTATGCATGTATGTAAGAACGTACACGAAAAAAAATAACATAAAAAAAAGGAAAAAAAATGCCGTAGCACAAACTGGCTCGCACATACGTAGCTAAAAAAAAGTGAATGGTAAAGAGTTTTGAATCAAAGAGGCCTTGATTCAACGACGTTTTTAAGCAAGTATTACGCGTTACACGATGTATTGTAATCCCGTGTTTATAATTTTAATAAAATACCATCGCGTTAAAGAAACCCAGCAGACCAGCCGTGGGAAATGCATTATTAATCAATTTATCGTTTCGTTCTTTCTCAGAAATATAACTTTCTCTCCGAGTTTTATGTATATACATTTATGTATATTCATGAAGACATATAATTCAGAGACATAGTGTCCAAAGTTTTTGTTCTACATAAACTTGTACAATGAACAATGACTACAATTAGAAGGATTATTGTTAGAACATATACAGATTTTCACAAACTATATCTCTCTTATTTTCAAAAATTCTTATTTTTTAAGTAAATAATAATTTAAATTTATAGTAATATTTACTGAGAAAAATATAGTTAACAGAATAAATAAATTTCAGAAATAAATTTAAGAAACATCTATAAAAAAATGAAGATAAAAAAATTTTTTAACATAATTGTAATTTTTGCTAAAAGAAGTTTCCTGCGTTTCCTTTTTCTCATTATACTGTGTAAAAGTCTAGAAACTTTTGATATTTAGGTCAATTCTCCTCGATAAACTCTTCGTTAAAACGATTGTAGGGACTCGCAATCCCTTGAGAAAGAACGTTATTCATATTCTCTCTACTTATAATTTAAGTTTATTAATTCACATTATATTGCAATGCCTCGTTAAATTTTCATGCGATTTCTTGTTTGTCTTCGAGATGATTTGTGAAACTTCATTTTCAATATACAAATTTTATAAGAATAACATTAATTACAGTAAAAATAATGAAAAAGATGTTTTATTTTTAATTTTTATCAAGAAATGCTTCGGAAGAAAAAAATTTTCAAAAAAATGTAGATAAGAATATAGCATCTATTTCCTTAAAGAAAGATCTTGCTGCAAATTTTTTTATAAAAGCATCATTAGAATGTTGATAAGTTCTTTTTTACAAGTTATTGTTTTACTTATTTTCCAAGATTATGAATAGATTTTTAACCATGCCACATATTACATGATTCTATATTTTATGTATTGATATAGAATATATATTTTGATATCTATTGTAAACAAAAATAATTTCAAAATGCAAAGCGATCGCTTTGTAATAAAAGCAGCAATTTTGAATTATATTCAAAATTGAATATAATTTTATTTTTAAGTTTTCAGTACAAATGTCTCTATTTTTTTGACTATCGATAACAGCAATCTGTCTTACCTTTATTCACGTAATCCAAAAAAATGTATACTGCGGAAGACACGCACGGTTGATCGCCATCAGGATGACATCGCGCTCTTACGTTGTTTGCCTCTTGACATCTTCCATCCGTCAATTTTCTGTCCATGAAAAACGTAAAATCGCTCGCCTACAACCCAGCAGATTTATCGCGTTGTTCTCAATGAAATATTCATTACATCGCGGACAGATTCGCGAAAAGACAGGATCCTCGAATGTCCAGTGGGAGCGCATCGTTCACTGATACGGCGATACACGGCAAGCTGGAACCACCGAGATCGCTGCACGGTGTCGAGGATGCCGAGGTCATTTGGGACACGATCACGCGGCGATTTCCGAATGCGGCACCGCTTCTCTGCGAGATGGAAACAGTGATCGAACGAGCGGAGGATCTGCTGCAGCAGCTTAGAACGCCTTGCACTCAGGGAAATGGTATGCGATATTTCTTCGAAACCGGAAAGCAATTTTTCCATGCACGTGCATGACAGGCAAACAAGCTCGGAGAATTTTAGTATATACTCAGTTTAACATGTTTTACGATTCAACATGTTTAAAATAACGAGCTTAAGCTTTAAATTAATGGTTACAATAGCGTGATCCAATTATGCAAATAGCCTGCATTTATTCGTGCACTCGGCTAACCTCATTGTAATTATCACGTTATTAAATTAATGGTATACATGATATAATGGGAAACACACAAGTAATTTATTCACGAGGAAGATTTATCTTTCATAGAAATGTATAGTTTACGCATGACCTACATTCATTTATCCTTTCAATTACGTGCCGGACTTATTGACCAAATTGTTATCTGGAATAATCCTTCATTTACTTGATTTTGTCAATCGTTTAATGATTAAAGAGTGTTTATTCGGAAATTTGCGACGTAATCTGATGCGTAAGCTCATTTGCTAAATTTGCTGCATCCACACCTTCGATTATAATTTGCAGAGAGAGAGAGAGAGAGAGAGAGAGAGAGAGAGAGAGAGAGAGAGAAAATTTTATTTGTCAAATTATGCATAATAATTTTTCATGTACTTTTAAGTGGATTTTAGAAATTTTAATTCTGAATTTAAAATTTACATCGCGACATTATCTAATTTGTGCTAGTTCAAGATCTGACTCACTCAATATTACAGACACGTCCAGCTCGTTTCACACACCGGATTCCCGGGAATCTAACGCGACGATTTCGATGGTGTCCGACATAGAATCGTTTGCCGAAGAAACAAATGTACGTAGCTTCCCGCATATTTCCTACTTATTGTTACACGCTGTCATTGCTTGCCGTATTAAATTTAAAAAAATGATGTACCTTGTCCTCCAAGATTTCAGAACATTGTGAAGTCACCGAGAATGTTGAAATGCAATTGAAAGTGCAGAATATTCACGAAAAGCAAGTGGATTTAGAGTCTCAACATTGTAATGAACAATCTATTCAGTGCGAAAAGAAACACCCCTATCAGGAACATAATTTGAATTCACCTTTAAGAGTCGACGAGATTGTTGAACATTTCAAAACAAACTCGATAAATAAATGTCACAATTTCGAAGAGGAATTAAATACTAATATAAAGGATAACATTGACGAAGCAATCAATATGAGTTCGGAGGAAAGTGAGTATGACACGGAATAAGTTAGAAAAAAATATATTTTACAAATTCGTAAACGTGAGCAAAAATTTATAAAACCGCTTGTTTTAATAAATTATTATATTTGTAATTTAGGATTAATGAAAGCAGTGGGTGAAGTAAATAGTTTGGAAGGATGGACAAACATAACTAATAATGCACTGTGTAAATATCATGATGAGATAGAAAGTATAAAATTTATTTCACTTTTAATTATGTAAACAATAAATGTTGCTTTAATCACGTCTCAGATGATTCAGAAATGGGGCTAAGCGTCGACAGAAATCATTCATTGACAGGCAACAATGATGACAAATCTGATAAAAGCGATGAAAAAGTAATTAAAAACTAACATTAACATATTTACGTTATTTAAGCATAATATAGTTGAATTAAATAAGACGGATGAAATATTGCAACGTAGACTTTTTGGAGCAGAAGAAGCTTATAGATAAAAAATATTTCTTAATTTTATTTTTTTATCCAACAATAAGATTCTTAAATATAAATCTGATTTATTTAAAATTACACTTTAATAATATAAACGTTTAAATAATATAGATCAGTGTTGCAAATCTTCGTTCACCTTTTATTATCCTTGAAGAATATGCAAAGCAGTGTGAAGTGCCAATCACATACAAGTGTAAATCAAAACCGAATCTGTATGTGATAAATGGTGACTTGTGTGGATTTCGCGGTAAATACTTCGTATAAACAGATTACAAGGAATATTATCACATCATATGCACACACTCACACATACATGTTAAGTATTATTTTTTTATTCAACAACACCGGATTATTTCCAGCAATTATACATACTTTAACGACAATTTTCATAACTTTTATTTGTCATTCATAAATCCGACATATAAAATGTTGCAAGTGCTTCTTTACACGTTGTTAAACATAGTTTGGATAATGTGCCAGCAATGTCGTGTGCCGCGACCAAAGATCTGGCCAAAAATGAATGGGCAGCAAAAATATTGTGGATGATAGCCGTGCGTCAGATGGATGGCTCGAAATCTGTTGGTGGATTATTAGATTTCTCGAGGGAAGAGTAAGTTTAATGGTGCAAAAATATAAGAAAAATTAGGATATAGATTACGATATAAAACTTACCGGAGCATCGCTCGAAAAACAATCGACTTTATGTAAAGTAGAATTTGACGCAATCTCTTTGTGTCAGGATGTTAGAGATAATAGAACTTAAAGGCGAATTGAAGAACGCGTCGCAAAAACTCTACAAATTTTGTCTCGAGAAAGGAGAATCTATTCCGAAGTATACTATTGGCAATACAACAACACATCAAGGATTTACATACACAGCTCAATGTGCGGCTTTAGATCATGTCGGAGTTGGTATGTTATTTTCTCATTTGTTATAATCTGGTTAAAAATATAATATTTAAAGGAGTCTACAATTTTATATATTTTATTATTCTAAGTTATTTAATAATAAAAAGAATCATTAAATCATTCTTTTAAATTTTATCACATACAGAATTAATTTATTATTTTGTTTGTAATATTGAAAAAAATATTTTACATTTTAGAAAAAGCTTAACATAATTTTTATACCATTTTTTATATAATCAATTTTCTTAAATACTTATTAGAGTAATGTGACATATTTTATTATTTATTTATAGGACAAGGATTAAGAATAGATAGCGCTAAAATTGCTGCTGCTGAAAATCTATATCAGAAATATATTTGTGAGAAGCAATAATCAACATGTTCAAAAAGTTCAAAAATCAATTATTACGATATAATGTACTGCTTACTCTTTCGGTTTATCTTTGATAATAAAATTAAAAATGTATACAAATAGTTTTTGGAAATTTTATATGTTGAAATTTTTTAATTGATCTTAATAAACATTTGTATCTTGTCTTTATTTAGTATTTACAACCTATGTCTCACACACACACACACACACACACACACACACACACACACACACACACAAAAGAGCGCGCGCAGAAAACTTTATTACTTTAATTATATTTAAGATTAGTATACTGAATTTACAGAAAAAAGAGATTTTGTAAATAAAAAAATATTTTAATGCAGGTATATTCATCCCTTCATTACAATTTTCATTGCTACTTTTAATGATCAAACACTCGATCGTTCAAACACTCTTTTGCAAGAGGTACTTGTATCGCTGTCATGGTATTTTGGCGACTATCCAAGGTAGCTTTCCGGTTTTCTTAAAAGACCAATAATCATACAAAAGCTTGCCAAGCACGAGGAATATTAATGACGCCAATATGATGTTCAAGATATCGAGGGGATGAAGCCAAGAGTCTTCGTCTGGTAAAATGCAGATCTCTGTCCGCGTAAGATCACGAATCTGTGAGAGTCATTTTATTATGTTAAAGCAGGCAATTGCATTTTAATTGCATTATTCATGCGTCTGCGTTTCAATCTGACTTGATAAAAAATACATGCAGTAGTTACCTGTTTGTTTGAATTATCGTTGTCACTCGTAAACGCGCATCTTATGTCATTGATGTCTTTTATTATATTTGGATGCCTGATCAGAAGATCCTATAAAAAATGTTAAATAAAATCATATGATTAAATTAATAATGATTAAGTTCTGATCAGTAGATCATTTAAGATCTTTTTTAAATTACAAGTAAGAAATTCAAAAAAAAAATGTAAATAGAATATTGAAAATTAAAATTAAATTTAATATTATTTTTTTTATATTTCCTTATCTATATATATTTTAATGATCTTTTAAGAATTTTATATGATTGAAGACTATGGAATTTACTTGTACAAAATGGTGTAATTATGCTAATATTATTGGCAATTAATTTAAAAACATGTATGTAAAAACTCTATATATAATATACTGTGTCCCAAAATTTTTGACTCAAAATATATAAGTAGCAAGAAAATTTTCGAAAATTAAGTAAAAACAAGTTATTTGTAAATTTTTATTTTAAGCAATAATTTCTCATCTGAACATATGCAATTGACTATATTTAAACCCTTATTATCATAAAAATAAAATTTACAAATAACTTTTTTACTTAATTTTTGAGAACTTGCTATAGTACTTTGAATTATAAATTTTTGCGACATCCTGTATATTATTAATTAAATTTTATAACCTGAAAGCCCGGTGTAAAGTGACAGTCGCACGTCCATGAATTATTGCCGAGATACAGATTAGCTGCATTTCTATTGTGCAGCAATGCATCCTCCAGAGCGTAAGTAGGCAACTAATAAAAAACGCAAACTAAAGAATCATAAATTGTATTTGTGATTTTATACAATGATGAAATAACAACTATGGTGATATAAAAAACAGCGCATGATATTTTATAATCTCTCTAAATCGCACATCTTAATTCTTAATCATCTACCGTGCTGCACGAAATCAAACAGTTTTTCCATATTCCGACATCCGTTAAATGAAACGGATTGTTTGCTTACGTGACATCTGATAACTTTGACACGGCAAACTAACATCGGTAAGTTTATTCCCTCGAAGATTAAGGCGTCGGAAATGGTCCAACCAGTCTGATCCTTCTAAGCGAGCGATAGATTCTACCAGATTATCGTCTATGTAGAGGTCTAACAGGGACTTGTAAGCGGGATTTGTCGCAAGCGGAGTTAGGTCCTTGATCTATAGTAAACAACAGACCAGATTAGTAGTAGCAAAGTATTTTAACCACTGTATCTAATATGTAAATCATTATAATATATAGATATATGAAAAGTGCATTATATAAGAAAACTAAAGGGAAATAATTTTCAATATGTTATATTTATTCTTTGCAAATATATATTATTTACTCTTTAAAAATTTGAATAAAAAAATATATTTTTTCTTTAAAAATATTAATAAATTTATAGACTAATTTGATGTTTTATAAGTTACTTTGAAATTATAAATATCTATTATAAATATCTGAATCTCATATTTGTAACATTTTATAATTCTACTTCATAACTATTTCATGACGCGTCTGTAAAAATTATTGTTTAAGGGGCGAGAATTATGTAAATATAAACGACCTTATTTCCACTTAGATGAAGAATGTTTGTATCTGTGGGTAAAAATTCAGGCATTTCTGTTAGACCACGATAACTACAATTGACTGAAATAAAAACTATAAGCTGTCTTTGCGTAAGTTCGCCTGGAGGTGTAACATAAATCAATTCGCAATCGCAAACAGTCTCTTTGCATTCCTCCTTCAATGTCTGAAAATCAGATTGATTTAGCGGGGAACTCAAGATCTGTTTAATCATCAATTACAAGAAGAAGATGCATTTTCTCGTTACCACGATTATCTTGACAACCGGGACAAGCGGTCTTCCATCATGCGGTGTAGCACAAAGTAATTTGTCTTTGTCGACGACTTTACTCGCGGCTGATCCTTCACTAGAGTCCAAAATCCACGCTACATCTTCCGTACATCTCAATGGATTACCTTCGTCAGTACATCTTCATTAATTATCCACCATCGCATCGCGCATCAATCGAATGCAATTTTGATTAAACAATTCATTAATCACGTAAAAAAATTTAGCATTATAGAAATACTACACAAAAGATAGAAGTATTTCACAAAAAATATAGTATAATTTTAATTTGCCAGATTTTCTTAAATCATAACTTATTTATTTAACAAATTTGTTTTGCACAAAATTTTATCGAATTATTCTTACCGGTCAGATAGATATCTTTTAACGTAGGTACATCAAAAACCGTAATATTGATCTCTTCGAGAGCATTGTTTCTTAAGTCGAGGCATCTCAAAGTCCGCAGATTAGAGAACGCATCGTTCGGTAGTAAATACAGTTTGGTGCCGATCACATTGATTTTCTATTAATTAATATAAACATTTCCTCCAAGCTTTCATAAATACTTTACTTTCAAGATAAAGCACGCAAAATATAATCTCATGATAAAAACGAATTTTCATGATCAATGTCTTCCAAGACAGTTTGCTGAACTTGTATCCTATTCTTTGATAAAGTAATGTTAAAACTGTCCCACTTATTGTCCATGAAAATTCGAATAAGCAACTTTAATGAAGTATAGACAAAGTTTTCGCTTGCTGTCCATTTGGCAAGCATTTTCTACCTCCAGAAATTGCATCTCGTTTGGAAATGCAGTTGATAATTGAGTTAAGTTACTGTTCGCGATTATTAACTTTCGTAAAAATGTGAATCCCCGTAGAATCTCTTGCGGATCAAACGTTGCCTTCGGCCATACGCAAAGAATAAGTACTTGCACATCTTTAACCCTAAAAATATTATTTTACTTTTTTAAAAACGCTTTATCTTTTTAAAATTATAATATTAAACTTATACAGCACAGATCATTCTGATAATGCAGCGATATTGTAATGTTTCAACAATATTGCAATAACAGTGCAAATGTTACAACAATGTTTCTGCAAGCCTTTAGATAAATTTTAATTTTGCGTCAAGAAATCAACAATATTAACTCGATATTTATAAAAAGTTTATATTTTAGATTTAGTTCTTAGTATTACCTTGCTCTCCATTCATCTTTAAAGCCGTTAAAACAGACGAGACGTTGTTGACTTTCCGTAAAGTCACATTCGGAATGAATATTGACTCGTGGATGATAACAAATCTCGTCATCTTTCGTAAAGCCACGTGAAAAATGTACATATATTAAGAACGCGAATCTATAAATAAAACGATTTAATTGTGTAGGAAGATATCAAATTACAATACGAAGTTATCTCGCGAACGTTAGATATGCTTCTTCATGATATCAAAACTAGCTTCTTGCGCTCATCATATTTAAACTATGCGTGATCGCGTAGAGACATAATTTATCCTATTTGATAAAATAATAGTTTGTTTAACAATATTACACAATTCGTGGACTCTCGTAAAGACGTGCGACGGAAGTAAATAGATGGTGCACGATAGGCTAGCTGTGAGATTTATAATCTTTATTACTTGGTAGCTTCGTTATTTGCGCAAGACGATAACAAGACCGATGTACCATTATATTCGCCAGCATTAAACTGTCTCACGTACATAATTTAATATTTCGTATTTGTCTTCCTAGCTTTTGATGCGCACCGCGATCGTTTTAACTTATCAGTTTGAAACACTTTCACGATTGATTAGCCGCCGCTTTCCAAACAATTCAATTTTAACAGCTTAACTATCCTTAATGAACAAATTATACAATGCAAATGTCTTCGCCTTGTTTTTGATTGTCGTAACATTGTCGCGTTGATACTAAATATTGTGTAAATCATCGTTACAGTTATCTCTCCGCTTAACGGTGAACCTTCCTTCATATGAAGAACTTTACAAATTTAAGGCTCCTTTACTATACTAGATCTCAGATTGTGATTATTAGAAGAAAATTCACAATAAAATTCTTGCAAAGTATATTAATGAAAATATATTTCAATAAAACAAAACTTACAATCTATAGAATCGACTTGTAAAATATACTAAAAACTCTCCTTTTGTTTTGTTAATTTCTTCTTGAAATAAGAAGATAGTTTTTGAGACATTTTATAAGTCTATTCTGTCAATTGAAAATGTTGTTTTATTGAAAAATATTTCTATTCAAATATAATTGAATAATAATATCAAATATAATATTCAAAAATATTTATTTTGTGCTTTCTCGTTTTTAACATCGTAATTGAAGATAGTAATAATGAATGAACAGGAATCTTAATCAATATAACAATCACGCCTTCTTCTAATTACAACACATAATTATCCATACAAAATAGTATTTGTTTATAAACCTAAATCAATGAAAATAAATGTGACAGTTTTTAAATACAGTAAAAATATTAATTTCTTGGCAAATTATATTTTTTAATAGATATTTATATTGAATGTATCATAAAATCTTTAACGCTAATGACTTACTTAAAATTTCATGAATTTATAAGTCATAATAATTGATGTGCTGTCAATAATCGATCGATATCTTATAAAAATCTTTTACAAGACTTTGGAGAAGCCGTTGCAAAATTGATTTAAAAATTATAATAAAATCCGCGCAATGTTAAATCATAAGAAGAAAGTAAAAGTAAATACTCACAGAAAAGTTCGTTGCACTATCATTCTCATGAAATGTTAAGATACAGTAAATAAGTATCAACGTTGACGAGTTGTTCGCACAAACAAACAGTAATTTATAAAGGATATATAATGGAATTTTTGTATCACTCAGCACTTTTTGTTTTTAACACGATAGGTGTCAACCTAACGACGCACTCGTATCACATGCGTTAACGCGATAGGTGTCGTATCAAGAATAGCAGTGCTGCTAATGAGAAAATAGATGTTGTATTCGACGTGTCAGCAGGTGGATAACTTAAACGGCTTAACATGTAATGAACATATTATGCGATAACAGTTGTGGAGATGCGATTTATACTCATGCAGTATACATATTGCGATAATACATTTTTCAAACAGTGAACAACGTCAGCCGGTAAACGGACATTATACATCTCATTATTACAAGTTTCGGATTTTTAAAAGCAATTGCAAAACATAAAGATATTTGCGATAATATTATTAAATTTGTGGCATTTTTTATTGTCTGTAGTTAATAAATATATTATATATTACCGTAATTTCAATTCGGATCAGACATTATAATATTCAATTTTAAAAACATCATCGTGTATGTGAAAGTAGCTTTTTGCATTAAATAAGAAATTTACGTTGAATATGATTAGAATCGAGTTATTCAACATTTTCTAGTGACAATTTTTAGTGACAATTTTTAATGAATAAATTAAAAATTAAAACAATGTAAAAATAAATAATTGAAAAAATATTAAAAAGTTCGATCACGACAATTTAATTCTAATAAATTAGTTTGTCAAATCTTAACAAGAAAATATCCATAGAAAAAATTTATTTATAAAAATAAAATGTGAGTATAATGTAAGTATGATGTGTGATACAACTATGTTTAATAATAATATTACCGCAATACCTATGTTTAAACCTATGTTTAATTCAACTATGATTCATTCAAAAGTTAATTGAAAGTGATTATTTAGTGTAAAAATTGTTCAATACGTAATATGAACAAATTAATTTATTTTTCATAATTACGTTAAATTTGAATCATAAAATTCATAAATCTATTTTTTGCTTCTTAAACTGCTTTAAATGATTCAAATCTAATCTGCACAAATGTACGCATTAGATTTTCAAATTACGAGCCACATTCGATGAAATATTGGACTAGCGAATCAGCGAATTGGACAAGTTTTTAATCCACGCTATTTGTTCGTGTCTGTATATTTAGTCCAAAAAAATGAATCTTCTTTATCGATCGAGTTTTCGCCATTAAATGTCAGTTTATCCCCTAAAAAACCTTCTCGCAAATTTCTGATCATACGCACGCGAATGAATTCGTGGCGCTTTTATGAACGCGATCGGTGTGTAACCCTCTATCTGGTTAACAACGACGACGGTTGCACTGTGCACCCTCAAGAAAAGCGCATTTTACGGATTCGCCTGTCGGCGTCGGCTGGCATCGGCGGTATTCAAATTCCGTGGCAGGACTGCAAGCGAAGGCACATCGGGACGACGTGATCGAGAGAACGTAGGACGCTGTTTTGCGTCGTCCAACCGCGAGTGTTTTCTAGAAAATTGCCGCATCGTCGAAGGCCCAATGTCAGGGATAGCGATAGCCAGGCTCGCTGAGGAGCGTAAAGCATGGAGGAAGGATCATCCGTTCGTGAGTTTCTGTTCCTCGTTGTATGCTTTCCCGCGGGAACGCGCCATCGGTTTCCCGCTTAGTGCGCCATAGAATCGGCAGGGCAGAACACTGATCACGTTACTCCGTCGTTACTCGTCGCGATTGTAAACAATGGCCCTGTATCACCCGCATGGCATTTCACACATCTTAAAAGCGGGAATCTATGTTAAACTTTATTTGTTTTATCATAACCAACATTTTTATTTGTATAAGCAATTTTTATCTTATTTGTAGAAAGAATCAAACTAATTGGTCTGTAATTAATGTATAATATTTAACAGTAAGACTGAATTATCATGAAATTTTAGAGAAATTTATTTTAGTGTTGTGTTTAAAATTGTTTAAAATTTTGTGTATATATTTGAATTTTTCCTGTAAATAATATAAGAACTATTTGTAGGGATTTGTAGCTAGACCAACAAAAAATCCAGACGGTTCCCTTAACTTGATGAGTTGGGAATGTGCGATACCTGGAAAGAAATCTGTAAGTCAATTTCTTTCAAATGTAGGTGACAAATATTCGTATTAAATTTGCAATTTTGCAGACTCCTTGGGAGGGTGGCCTGTACAAGTTACGTATGATTTTCAAAGATGACTATCCTTCAAGCCCACCAAAATGTAAATTTGAACCTCCTCTATTCCATCCAAACGTTTATCCATCAGGCACTGTGTGTTTGTCGCTTTTGGATGAAGAGAAAGACTGGCGACCAGCTATCACAATTAAGCAAATCCTCCTTGGTATTCAGGATTTATTGAACGAGCCAAATGTGAAAGATCCAGCTCAAGCCGAAGCTTATACAATATATTGGTATTTATGAGACATGTTCATATTATGAACAATAGTAATCTGAAGAATAATTGGAGATTTCTTTTGCAGCCAAAATCGTTTGGAATATGAAAAGCGTGTTAAAGCTCAAGCCAGAGCAATGGCTCCACAGGAATAAGTCACAAGAATTGTCGACTCGACATATTTAAAATATGTGAGAAAGATATTGTATGTGGATAACACATCATAAACTGATTCATAGCTCTTTATAATTAATCTTTTTTACGAGTAATTAATATATGTTGTAACTAGTTAAGTAGTTCATGGTCTTAATGTTTATTTATCGAATATTGTCTTTATTCAATGTGTATATTTTTCAAAATTTCAAAATGTAGTGTATACTAATATACGAAAATCACATATAAATCACATATAAATTCTTTCGCACATAAATAATTCTTATTAATATTAAGAACTATGTTATAAGATATGTATACTTTAAGGCAGAATTATTTTTTGATCAGCCCTTTAATTTTTAAGTCTTACAAATAATTACTGATGTTATTTTTAAAACAGTGATATGAGAGAAATTAAAAAATAGCTGCTATTAAATAAATATCTATCGTATCAAGTTTCTCTATCAGTTTCATCTTTTTTTTAATATGTGACAATACAATATATGACAGTACATTCGTAGATAGATTAATTTTAAAGACTAAATTTATTAAGGCCCAGTTGCATCAATGTCACTTTGATTTTAAGTGAGATTTAAAACTTTATCTGTTTTGTTTTAAAGCCAAAATGAGAGAGACAGAAAGAATTTTATTACTTAAAATCAAAAGGGTTAGGTTTGTTCGCGTTGCATGTTCTAACATGCTCTAAAATGCTCCTATTGTAGCATTTACTAACTCTAACACGCTCATTGAAGTGCTCATAGAAGAGCACATTGGAACATGCTGAAACATGAGACGCGAACAAACCTAAAGTAAGTAAAGTTTGTACAATCGGTCCTAAGTAATGTACAATTCTCAAAAAAAAAAAAAAAGAAAAATTTCAATTCGTTAGAACAGCATGATACAAAGGTAATCGTTGCACTCATTGAATCCTAAATAAATATATGCAAATGGTATTCCAAGAGAATCGTTTTCCACGTTGGTGAACACATTTGACACTTAAATCGATGCGACGGTGAGTAAAGCGATTAACATAATGTAATACTCCTTATCGATTTTCGCTGTTATCTTATTAGTACAGCTGTTTTGTGCAAATATGACGCATCACTTTTGAAACATCTCGAAGTAATCTTTGAATACCAAATGAGTCATACCGTCAGTGTGTTGGATATCGACGAGAATATGTAATATGGGAGTGTACAGTGGAGCAATAACAAATTAGTAACGTTCCACAGTGTTGCACAGTATCATTTCGTAACAACAATGACGGGGGTTGGAAATTGCGCGTTCCAAAAATTCAACGCCGGAATCGTATTAATGTGTGTGTTTGGTCTCATTTTTTCGTACTACGCTTACACCGTGGAGGTCAAAAAGGATCAAGATGATTCGTACCAGCCACTGTGCGATATTTCTGAACATATAAGCTGCACCAAAGTATTTATGACCGAGTAAGTACGCTCAAATATTACCGAATCAGTGCAATGGCACTTGAATGCGACTCAACATATGTTCAAGTCTTGAACGTAATTAAACGAACATTAATCTATATCTTCATTCTATGTATAATTCATTATGATTTTTTTTTTTATTTAATAATTCCTTTTCGTTATATGTTACATGAACATGAACATTGTTCAGAATCAGTGAATAAATGCGACTGTTGAAACTTTGCTAATTTTTCAAAAACACAGTATAGACTGTTTCTCATTGTTTCATAATATGATATACATATATATACGCGATATCGGTATATAAAAATATTTTATTAATATTTGCATGTTTTGCATTATGCTCGATTTCATGAACAACAAGCCGAACAACATACATTAAGTCGCTATTTAATTTGTTTTTATCGTATATCGTATAACAAAAACGCACAAATGAAATAGCACCTTTAGTGGTGTGTTGATGATTATCATTTATTTTATTCTATTAATTTAATATTCGGTGAGCAATAAGAATAAATTAATATATCATGTCTCAATGAGAAATGATAATGGAATCGACATTGATTTGATATCTATTTCATTGTCATTTTTCACTGGAATGCATCATGCATGAAACGCACTGTAAATAATTACAAAGAAGATTGCTGCTGAGTAAGTGCTACATAAAGAAACTTTAACAAATCCAAGAAATTGTTTCTCATTGGATCACGTGGAATGTAAGGTTCTAAGGATTACCACGTACTTTTCGTAATAATAATCATAAGACGTGACATAAGAATTAGTTAATCACAGTCAAAAATTAAAAATTAAAAATTTTCAATTCTGATTGGCTAATTCTTATAATACGTTACAGTTATTGAGTTATGGCCGCAGCACAGACTCTCATAAAGCATAATGCATAAGGGAATCAACCAATCAAAATTCTTCTTTTCTATGAAATGGGAGGAAAGGAAAAATTCTGATTAGTTCGCTTATGCACTTATGCAAAAGTCTGTGCTGCGGCTTTTATCCGTGCTATGGAAAGTGCGATGACTCTAAAGTTTGGTCTGTTCGTGTTACTTGCACTTTTTGCATTCAGCATCTTCAAGGTTAGAGAGCCTTAAAGGTAGAGAGTAGTTAGAGTATATCCACACAAACTTGCATAGTGAATATATCCTTAAGACCTCAGCACAGACTTTTGCATAACGCATAATGCATAAGCGAATCAATTAATTAGAATCTTTCCTTTCCTTCTATTCCATAGAAAAGAAAATTTTGATTGATTCTCTTAAGCTCTATGCATTATGCGTTATGCAAAAGTCTGTGCTACGACTTTAAAGGACTTTACATATGAAGTGTATAATGGAACATAAGTATAACATAAGACTACTGGACCAATGAGCATCTAACATACTGTCGCTGTATTGATTTAAGATAGATGCTCATTGGTCATTTAATGGCTTTATGTTGCATATATGCATTTGATGTGTGAAACCCTTTACAGATCTTCTACAATAAGCCATTAATCATAAATTAGAAGTCAGATGATGACTATGCTTGGTCAATTTTTAACTTTTGACTTCTATGACTTTATGACTAATGGCTTAATGTAGAAGACTCATTACTCCCACGGAGTAACAATAAACATGACATGCACATTCAGCCATAATTGCTATCTTCAACCGCGCGAATTTTTAAGCCATATACTGAGATTAATAAAACGTAATGAAAATAAAACTTAGATAAAATACAAAATGACGTGAAATTATTCAAAATTGATAATTGTGTATGAATAATCATAAAATTATTTCAGACAAACATATACAAAATAAGTAGTAACAAATTAACGTATAAATATCGTATTTCAGGTATGGCAAAGGATTCGGATTGTTTCCAAAAGATTCTGTGTTTCACATCCGAAATCCTATATATGGTTTAATATTTTATACTCTGGTCGCAATTTTAAGTATGTATTCAATCATTGTCGCTACGTATCTATATAGCAATAGGTCTTAACGAAATCATTTTTTTCAGGTATGATTAATAATTACACCTTTTCGGCCGCCACTGTCATTCTGGGAATAATCTCTAATATTTTGTCAATATACTTAAGTCATATATTATATTTATATAGAGATATCTGCGTTGTATGTATTAGCACGTACATTACAAACGCGATGATCACATTTTTCGCTATCAAAAAATTCCGAAAATTCCAAAAATTAGCCTCAGACGATACATATAAAAAGGTGAAATAAAAATAACAAAGAATTACATTTTTTTGTGATCGATCAAAAAATATTTTAATAATTTTTTTCTATTATTCTCTATTTGTGTAGAACTTATACAATGTAAATATCCAGCAAACAATTAACATAGACATATAACAAGTGTATTTATATGTATTTATATGTATATATTATATTCGTTGTTTGCTGGATAATATAAATAATGATTTAATGATTTAGATAAACATATTTTTTCAACGAAAGAGATTAAAGTAATTTTTTTCACATTATACAGTTCAAACAATCAAATGAATTTTTCTGTGTTACAATGTACGTAACATTTTAAATAAAAGATATAAGAATTAATTAATATGCATAGATAAAAGAAAGAACTTTCGCTTATATGTATATATTCATATTATATTATTGTAAATCAACAATATGAACAATATAAATAATATCGCATCTATATGAAACTCGTACATATTCATTTGTTAATAAAAAATAAAAAATGTGTGGTAATGAACGTACAGAATGTCTTGTGATGCTTTTTTTCAAAATTATCGTTTTTAACATGATTGCTCATGAAAAAAAATTCTTCAGATTATCAAAAAAAATATTAATAAAATACAAAAAATATACAGTAATGAAGAGCATTCTGTACATTATATACCAAGAATAATTATGACCTTCACATATTCTGTTTTATGAGAATGTCAGTAATTTAAATGTCGAAAATATACGTGGCACGTAAACGTTAAAGATATAAGAAACATTTTGTAATATTTCAGAAAGTTTAGCGATTGTTATCAGTTCTACTTTAATTCTATATAATAAATTTCTAAGAATGCAGCTTCTTGATTTCGATAGATCTAATTCATATTAAATAATTCAAAACGTGTATGTCATACAGTAGAACTTATATTTATTTTGTCTACGCGAAAATAGTCTGTAAAAACGATTATAAATTGTAACTGCAAAACTTGCTAATTTCTTGAATAGGGTTCCAGGATGTTGTGTATTTATAATCATTACAATTACTTATGTCAACAAAATCCCACATTAAAATACATAATGAAGTGATAATATAGTAATGAAATTAATTGTTTAATAAGAATTAGATAAATTGAAAAATTTATATAATTAAAAAGGGAAATAAAAAAGCTAAAACGGGAGATTTGAATGATAGCAAAAGAGAGGAAATAAAAAAAGATATAAGAATATCAAAAGTACGTATGCAGTAGAATCTATAATATATGTAAAATACAAATGTATAATTCATTATTTTATCAGATTAATAGCTTCTCTTCTAAGTTTTACATCACTTTGAGATAAATTAAGATTTTATTTATAATAATATTCGCGAGGAAGGATAGTAATTTAACATCCGAAAGGATATGCAGTTTATGTCACTGACCTTAATATTTGCCGTCTCTTAATAAATCTTTGTTACTACGGCTAATGCTGGCAAGAATACCAGGACTCTTCAACGGCGGCGTTTCGTCCAGGCGATTAAGGTGCAAATTGGAGGTATACGGTACACGGGTTGGTGCGTCGACGCCATTCTTGCTGGCCTCAACATTAAAGCTTTTACTGCGTGACAGTGATGACTTGTACGTACGTTCAGGTTTCGGCGGAGCTTGAAGAGTGCTGTAAACAGGTGTCGCGTTCACTTTTGGCGACATGTTCACCGTGTTCTTGATCGATATGTTGATCATGCTGCTGTGATGTTGGCTCATTTTGCCGTATCTGCCGATATTCGATGCTTGGTATCGTCTGGTCTGAGAACGAGCTGATTGTTCATCACCGGTAGAATGCAGGCTTCGCGGTAACGTTTGGGTGGTCCGGAAGTGCTCCTCCCTCTCTTGATCGCTAACCAGTCTGTTAGTGGACTTGCTAAATCTGCCGAGGGAGCTGGAGGCGACGCTGAAACGCGGTTGTTTCCGAAAGGTGATTGCCTAGTCGTGCGGATTTTCTCTCGTCGACGTTTGCGGCGGCGACGATCGAATGAGTCTATCGAATCATATATATGTTCGTTCCCATGCGTCCCTTCATGCAGCCTTCACCCTAAATCGAAGCACGGAGTCGCCGAATTTCGACTTAAAAGATATACCCAAGCGACCCGATTTAAACTTCGCACTTTGGCTCCTGAAGCTTGTACAACTAAATCCGTCTTTGGCGATCGAGCGATATGAGATAGCAAGTTCGTCGTCTATTTCATGATGACAAATTCTGACCGAGAGACAAATTTTTACTGACAATGAAAGCGTGAAATATCTTTGGAACACTATGTCATTCCTGATAAACGTTTCATGCATAGATAGTTATGTAGAGTGTCTCGGATTAAGTTAGATGCCTCACACTTTCAATTCACAATCGATTTTTCCTTGGTGAAAATCAACGTCATCATTCATAATTCTATAATATTTCTCCTTTCGTTTTTCTATCTTTAACCATATCTTTAACCAAAATTATCTACTTTCAAAATAAATTTCATCTGATCAATTTCTGTAACTTAATCCATACAAACTCTCTTATGAACCTTAAATAGTAATTCTTTACCAATTGAAAAAAACCAGACAAGAGAAAGACAGAAGATCTGTAATATTTTTACAAAAGACACCACTGTACAGTGTTAAATGAAAATGTGAAGATATTTCAACAAGCGCAATAAAAATAAGGGGGCAATAAGCATAGCGATCTAATTTAAGTAGGGGATAACTTATCAGTCAAAATTTGTCTCGCTCTCCTTATGTCAAGTACTTCGATTACCTGTGCTCGGAATCTACGGCAATTTTACCGGAGCCACGTGGTCTTCCGTGTCGCAGCCGGTCTCGGTCGTTCTCGTATCCTTTTTCACGTCCATAGATACTGCCGCCGAAAGGATCTTCGCCCAAGTAATACCTCTGCAGAGGTGGTGGCGTAGATTCGTTACGTTGCCATTCCTGGATACCATGATCAGCCGTCCTGATGATCTTCGTGACTTTGCTCAACGTGTTAGCGTTTCGCGGTGATCGCGGTGGTCTTTCCGGTGGTTTGTCCTCCATCGTGTCCCTTTCGCTGACGAAAGGAATGTTTCTGTCGATCACGTTGTATTGTAAATAGGTCGGACCATTGTCGTCGGTCTGTGTCAATTGTGAGGTAGAACCACCACTTGTTCGTTTGTTCTTTCTCTCCGTACTAGCTGAACGTAATTTGCCTACCAGCTTCCGAAAGGATTCACCGATTTTATACTTAGGCCCATGACCTAGATGAATAGATAGTAATATTTAATACATACATAATATATGTAATAATAATAATAATAATAATGTTGATAATATTCCTCTTTAATGCTCTCATAATATTTGACTTTTATTTTTAGTTTGTCTTTAGTCGGCTTTTATTTTATTACTTATTTGTTCATCAGATTGTTTTCCAAATCAGATTGTTTTCGATTGTAATAATAGTTTGATTTAATTAAAAATATTTATAATTAAAGTATTACACTCATTTACATTCATAATTTTTTAATTTAAATATTTTTTTAATTTATTGCCTTTATCAATTAATTACGAAGAAGATTACCCTTAGATGCTCGTGAACTGTCTGACTTTTTTTCTTCGTGATTATTTATCGGCGATTTTGGCGAGATTGATCGCGATCGTGGCGAAGTATTTCTATAATTGCGTTCGGATGTTTGTGCTTGAACGTCGCGATTACGACTTTCCCAAGTTCTTTGTACCACATGTACTGGACTTGAAGTACGACCTGACGGGAGTTCATTCGAACTTATCTTTTCTTCAGATTTTGCCCACTATAAAAAGATTATCAATAATTCAGTTATGTATCGATAATATGCGAAATACAAAATGAAATATTTTATCAGTTTAAATCAATATAAATTAATTTAATAAATTATATATAGATTATAAATTATAAATTATTTGTAATAAAAATTATTTGTAACAAAATAGAGAGAATTTGCAGAGTATAACTAAACTTTTATTGCATTTAATATTATGTATTTTCTTATAAATTTTAAAACTATTGTTATTAGCATAATGAAGAGTAATGTTCGTACTTGTTCTTTCGATCTTCGACGTATCGGTGGGGAAGGTGTACGTTGTCGTTCTTCGACAGAATCCTGATGATCACGTCGAAATGATTCGTAAGTTTTCGAATAAGATGATTCAACTTGATTTCTCTTATGCCCGTGGGCATGTCCGTTGGTACATGAAGATTCCACGTATCGAACTGGAGAGTTCGAACGCGCATGATTTTGCTTCTCTGTGTAGAATACATTATATTCACATTTCTATTTCATGTATCATTTGATATTTATTGAAACAAAATTGTTTTACACACACACACACACACAAAATGGATTTAGGATTATCTTCTAACTTTATGTATTATGTATATCTTTGTTATCTCTCTTTTTTTAATAGTAATATATCTTTGTTATCTCTCTTTTTTTAATTTTTAACAAACTATATCACATTTAAAAATAATGTTATATGAGAGGGTCAAATGTTTTTAAAGACTTTAAGGAGCGATTCCTCGTATATTAATTCATATCAATTCAATAAAAACTTGATGTGTCTGAAACGACAGTTTTGAAGATATCCTTATTCTTAGATCTGTCCCTTTTTTTAATTTAAAAAATAAATAATGCATAAATATAATAATAAGGATCATACAACCACGACGACAGATGTTAAAACGAAAATATATTTATTATTATTATTATATAAGAAAACATAGACGTTTCGGTCAAGATTTGATCATCATCAGTACATACAGATGGCAATAAAGAATTACAAACAAGTTTATTAATTAAGAATGCAAAATCGGTAGTTAAAGAAGTGTTAATATCAGTATCAAAATGATAAAGAAGTGTATAATATTAAAAAAATTATCGGAAGTTAATAAGATAATAACAAATTCTTTTCCTTTCCAATCGCTTGCGGTACGCGTTAATTGAGTAAGATAAAGTCCAGAGAATGAAATTTATCAACAAAAATATATATTAAAAAAGGAAAAAAAAGAAAAAATT